AAAATTTTGGGGGGGGGGGCCCCCCCCGGGGAGAGGGGGGGGGAACAAAAGGGGGGCCCCAAAGGCGGCCCCCCAAGGGGGGGGGTTCCCCTTTTCCCCCTCCGCCTTTTCCCACATTAAGGGCGGTTGGAAACATTTTCCCAGGAGGGGTGCCGTTTCACGGTGTTGCCCCCCGTTGTGGCCCCCGGTTCCCCCCCCCCCCCTTTTTCCCCCCAAACACACATTGACCCACTGGGGGTTGCTACCATGGCCGCGGTGTTTATTCCCCCCCCCCCCCCCCCCAAGGCGGACAAGGCGGCGCGGCGCGCTGAGAAGAAGGAGACCAAGCTCGCGTTCAAGACGGAGCGTTCGCGGCAAGTGGAGACGCAGCAGCGCACGGCGCAGGTGCCGGCGACGAGCCTCTCTGGCGACATGGCGGTTCGAGCCCGCTGAACTGCATCCCCCCGGTTGAGTGCTTTTCAGCGCGCGAGAGCCAAGAGAGGGGGCACGCCGGTGAGCCGGGCCCAGAGCGGCGGTGGGGGTTGGGTGGTCACGTAAGAGAGGAACTGTGAGTCAGCCGTATTGAATATGTGATTTGGCAGCCCCGACATCCTCGAGCAGCCGAGAAAAATATTGTCGAGGCGAGGAGGCGCCCGGCGCGGGCGAGTGCCACCGAGTGGCCGCGTTGAGCCACAGTGTCAGTCCCACAGAGGTCAGGCACAGGGAGCGCGCAAGGGCCACAAGGGCACCATTGCCAGAGCCTCGAGGCGACCATGCTCGATGCTGTATTTACGCCGGTAGGGCAGCCACACATACACGCTCGCTACCGCCAACTAGAGAAGCAGTGGACAGAGCTTCGACCGTTCGTCGGGGACCGGGCGCCCTTACACCCGCACGCGCATCAATTGGCCAGAAGGGCGTCGAACTTCGCTTTGCTGGACGTCACCTCCCATGCGACGAGGTCCGCCACCATGTTGGCCAGGGGCGGGGGGTAGTTGAGGGGCGTGAAGGTCGTGAGCGAGGGGAAGCCCTCGGCCACGAGCGGATGGTCGAGGGGCACCTTTGAGGTCCACTGATTGGGCAGCGCATTGTCGCGGAGGTAGAAGAGGACGTCCACCTTTCTGCCGGCTTCGACGCCAAAGAATGGGTTGTCGACAGTCTCGAGGCCTTCGAGGACCGCGACCAGCGGTTCTCCCTTCTCAAGGCACGCGTCGAACTGGCGGTACAGCTCGCCCATCTGCGCGTGGCCATCGGCGAAGATCACGTTTTGCGTCGAGATGAAGTGGGGCTCGAGCCCGATCAGACCAAAGTAGGAGGGGATCACCCCCAGCGCGTTGTTGCGCGAATTCAGCTCCATTGGTGCAGACGTCTTGGTGTAGACGTACATGTCTTCGGGATCGCCCTCCGCCCGGGGAAAGTTGGAGAAGGCGGCCACGATCACCTTTTGCGCGCCGCCAGCGACGGCGGTGGCGAGCCCGTGGAAGTCTCCGTAGCCACCGTCATCCATGAGGCAGCAAACTGGCGGCTCGCCCTTGCCTGGCTTGATGTCGAGGATGCGCCTGGTGGGGTGCGACGCGGTGTTTGTCGTGAAGAAGGAGACCGCGTCCGAGATCAGCGCGCAGCAACCGCCCCGGCCGCTGTTACCCTGCGTCCAGGCGTCGAAGAAGGGGGCGTCTGGCTCCGTGTAGTCAGGGTCCGTCGGCCACCCGGGGAGGCCGTTCGTGTCCCCCGCCTGCACCACGCCAAAGTGCCCGCCGGGCCCGTCTTTCCCCTTCAGGTAGCTGTCGTCCGTTCGCACGCCCAGCGCATCCGTGCCCACAGCTACCACGTCCATCAATCGCATCCCCTCGTCGCCTCCAAACTCCGTGACTGGGGTCGAGTGCGGCGAGAAGCGCATCTCGTCCCACCCGCCGGTGTGTGCGCCGCTCCCGCAGCGACCGCAAGTCAGCTTGTGGATCGTCCTGCTGCAGCAGTTTGCGGAACTGGCCGCCTTGCCGCTCGCCTTGACGGTGCCGCTGTAGCCGTGGGAAATGGCGTCGGCGCGCGCAGTAAACGGCACGGGCAAAGCGCCTCCAACTTCGTCTCGTGCCATCGTGACGGCCTCGAGTTTGAACTCGTCGATCGCAAACACCCAATCGAACGGGAACAGGCTCGCCCAGTCCCGGTTGTCTTGATTCAGCGTCTTATAAGCGTTCCAGCGGCTCTTCGCCCACAACCACAGATACTCGCCGTTGTTTGCCTCTGGTGCTGCCAGTCTGAGACAGAAGACCGGCTTCGGGACGCCCTCGTTGACCACGATGAAATCGTTCTCGGTGAGTTTGCGGCCCGTCGCTCGAGTCGTTTTCGCGATGGTCTCCTCCATCGCCAGGCGATTTGAGGCTGTGAATTTGGTGAACTTTTCTGGCTCGATGCCGAGCTTGATGAGCATGAAATCGATTGCGACCGGCCAGGCGCTGGAAATCGACGTCTTGAAGCACGGACAGCACTCCATGATGGAGTGGAGCGAGGATGTGCAGCACCCCACACCGACGCCGTCGAAGCCGGTTGTGAATGCCTCGACCATCGAACCCTCCACCACATCATCGAGCGACAGCGTGCCACCCTCGGCTATGCCCTCGTACTCAGGCACGGCGTTTGGGTCTGCTGGTAGGCGGCTCATCGAGAGAAGCGACTCGAGAGGGCGTTCGGAGTAGCCGAGGGCTGCAACCGCAAACTGCGCACCGGAAATTCCAACCATCTCCGATGATTTCTCCCAGCACGCCGAGCGCCTTCAGGCCTCGCAGAAAGCCCTCAGTGATGGGCACGGCCGCTGAGCCGCCACCCTGCAGCGCGAGATCGAGCTTGTCAGCCCCGTTGTCGCACATTGCACGGTCGAGTCGAGCGGATCGCGTCGTCACAACGCAGGGGACGTCAGTTGCTATTGGCCCTGACCAATGACGCTGAACCTTCTTTTCTAGACGGCTTGGATTGAGAGCAGCCTCGCTCTCAATCCTAGAAGTCGAAGGATTGTGAGCAGCACTCCTCGCAATCGTAGCATCTCTGTACGATTGCTAGCACCCACGCTCGCAATCCTACATCTTCTAGGACTAAGAGCAGCTCCGCTCCCAAGGTGACTGGTGACGCCTACGACTACTACCAGCGCGCTCGCAATCCGAGCAAAGTCTAGGATTGCGAGCAGCACTGCTCGCAATCCGAGCAACATGCCTCCGATTGCGAGCAGTAGCGCTCGCAAATCCTACATCTTGTAGGACTATGAGCGGCGGCGCTCACAATCGTACCCAAGATCCAAGGATTGCTAGCACGCGCACAGAGGGCGCTCCCAATCGCTCCAGCCGCGAGCGCTTGTGAGTGAGCGCGCCGGGAGGGTCTCCTCACAATCCAAACAGTGATCGCACCGATTGCGAGGGGACCCGATCGCAATCCTAGAAGTCGTAGGACTGTGGGCGGTGTCGCTCGCAATCGGCGAAAGTTCTAGGATTGCGAGCGCTACTGCTCGCAATCGGAGGCATGTTGCTCGGATTGTGAGCAAAGCTGCTCGCAATCCTAGACTTTGCTCGGATTGCGAGCGCACTGGTAGTAGTCATAGGCGTCACCAGTCACCTTGGGAGCGGAGCTGCTCTTAGTCCTAGAAGATGTAGGATTGCGAGCGTGGGTGCTAGCAATCGTACAGAGATGCTACGATTGCGAGGAGTGCTGCTCACAATCCTTCGACTTCTAGCGGGATTGAGAGCGAGGCTGCTCTCAATCCTAGCCGTCTAGAAAAGAAGGTTCACCACCCAATCGCCAATGACCCACCCAGTATTGTTGCGGCAGTGCTCCTCTCGCGACTTTCAGAGCACGGAGGGGTGGGGAAGCAAGCAGGCGCCCAAACCCCAATCCCAAAATAATTACATCAGGATTTTGATAGTAGATAGAGCCGTAAGACAACCATAAGAAATACTTAGAGCTGGGGCGCTCAAACAGAGCTCGTGAAGTTTCTTACTGAGCGGCTGGCGGCGGGGGCGAGCGCGGTGCCCATTCCGCAATCCACTCCTTCATCGTGCGCCGTGGCGGCGCCAATGCGAGTAACTGCGGAGAGGTCGTGTGCAAGAAGCCGCCATCCCGGATGACTTTGAAGTTGTGCGCAGCAGCCTCAGCCAGCCAGTGCTCAAAGCCGCTGCCCTTAATGGCAGCAGCGACCCACTCGGGCTCCGAGCAGGTCGCCATCTCGATCGGACGACCGAGCTCCTCCGTGTATAGCGCCGCGATCTGCGACCAGGTCAATACATCGGGCCCACTGATCATGAGGTGGAGGCCGTGATATTTGGATGGGTCGCTGTCGAGGAGCATCTGCGCTGCAATGTCGCCAACGTCGCGCGGGTCAACAAGTTGAGCCTTGTCCTCGGGCTTGAGCGGGTACACGATGGCACCATTTGGCAAAGTACCGAAAATGTCGCCAAGGTGGTTCGACATGAACCAGTTGGCATGCAGCACCGTCCACTTCATGGCGCCAGCGCTCTTTGCCAAGTGCTCCTCGATTTCCCAGTGGTGTCGGCCGAACTCAACGGGCGAGTCCTTGTTTGTGTAGCCCGCGTGTGTGCCATTCTCAACGAGGTACGTGCATCCCGCAGCAACAGCCGCATCAATGACGTTGATCTCCATCTGGGCCTGCTCCTTGGCGTTGCCACAGACAAGGAAGACGGCCTTCACGCCCTGCAAGGCTTCCGCCAGGCCCGCCTTGTCCATGAGGTCGCACGCCACTATCTCCACGCCTGGCAACCTCTGGAGCTCGGCAACTTTACCGCCCGTGCTCGAGCGTGTCTGGGCCTTCACGCCGACACCTGACTCGGACAGCTTCCGCACAACTTGCGAGCCAACATTGCCAGTTGCTCCTGCCACGAAGAACATGCAGCCCAGGGCGCGCCTCCTTGTAGCTGCTTGTTTTCTTTTTCTGTGAACATGGCTCCTTTTACGAACATAGTTTCCACATTCTTCTCCCTTGCGGGCCCCAACCTTCGTGAAAAAAGAAAGAAAGAAAACACACAACCCAAGGGAGGGATGGGAGGACGGCACGCCGCCACCACACAGGGATTTTAAGGAGAGGAGTGTGGTGCTAGCCGTCGCCCACCCTCGGGCGTCTACCAACCTTCGTGAATAAACCTAAATTTTGTTTTTTTTCTCCTCGGCCGACGCTGTGGGGAGGCGTCCACTCACTCGGAAAGCCTCCACGGGAGAGGCGTCCACTCGCTGTTCGCGAACGCTCTCCGAGCTGCTATTCGTCGGCTGCAGAGTATGTCACTCACCTGCTTTGGCGGGAGCGCCCTCTGCTGTGTCTGCACCGGCACGCTGCTTAGGTGGCGTGCGAGCAACCGGCCGACGCGGCAGGCTCAGCGGTACATGCTCGCGCCGGACGAGGAGGATGAGGAAGACGAGCTGCTGCAGTCGGACATGGTGGTCGAGCCTCGGTTCACAGCATCTTCAGAGGGCGGCTCTGATGTCGAATCGGAGGCGCGTGCCCATCGCCACCGACCATTGTATTTCGCAGTTGGCTATGCCGCGCCCGCGCGCTCGCCTTGCGGCTCGCCGTCTCGTCTCACGCTAGTCGACGTCTTAGGCTGGCGACCTGCCAAGCGACGCCTTTGCCCGAGGCCTCGCGGCGTTGCCGTCAGGTTGCGCGAGCAGCGAGGGGGGTGATACCGACACGCTATTTTCTCACCGCAGCGCCTGCGGACCGCAGGTCCTGCCGAGGGCGACCTGATTGGGGGCGAGCACACCGCCGCCACGCCCGCGACGGGCGGGGTGACTCGCGAGTCGTGGGTGGCTGACCTCGACGCGGCGCGCCATGCAGCCCCGGGGGCACCGCTGAACCCCCTCCTCCTCCCTCCTCCCCACCCGGCGCCTCTAGGCTGATCCTGCCTCACCCCGCCCCCGCGCCGCACAGGAGCTGGCAGAGTTCGACGCGCTCACAGCGTCGGAGGCCGCAGCGCCACCGCTCGGCGACGGGGCCATGAGCCTTCCCTGAGCCGTCGCGCTTCCAATAGGCGCCGCAGTCTGGCGACGGGGCCGCGTTGATGGCAGAGCTGGGCGACCGACTCCTCGCTCCTGCCCCGAGCACGCCGGCGGCGCGGGAAGCGAGCACGCCCGTGAGCGACGTACCTTCCTTTTAGAATGCTGCCCGGCTGTGCACGGCATGAGGGGACAGGGGGAGGGGGTGGGCGTGCTGACAGTGGACCGCTGTATGGATTGGTGCGGTGCATCTCGCACCTGCTCGCAAACTCAATCCGAACCGATGGAGTACTCTCTCCGCTGAAGTGAGAGAGGGTCAGGAGTCTATATCTACAAACAAGGGCCTTGTTGTGTTACAACTCCGAGCGTCTCTCTTTCGCTCTCTCGAGAAGAGATAGTTTATCAAAAGGTGCGGCATTCGAGTTTCGACGCCCGCCCCGCAGGCCGCGCACCGGCCACCGCGCACGGCGCCCGCCCACCCCACACTCTCACTCGCATGCGTCGCCGCCCCCGCCCTTGACGGCGCCGAGGACGTGGAGCTTGCCGGGCAGCACCGAGATGTGCGTGCTCGCGTACGGCACGAGCTCGCCGTCGATGGCGAGCATGCCCGGCTGCTCGGCGGTGCGCGGCTGCGGGTCGAGCTCGATCTCGGTCGCCTTGACGTACTCGAGGAAGGGGGCCTCGGCATGCTTGCCCGACGTGAGGTCGACGAACGTGCTCAGTGCCTCGCAGCGGCCGACGCGTCGGATGACGAGCAAGTCGACGCAGCCTGTTCAGAGGGCGCCGTGTCCCGCGAGCAGATCGACGCGGCCGCCGCCGTCGTGGGAGAGGCGCGCGGGGCGAATCTCGGCAAATCTCGGCAAATCTCGAGTCTCAGCGAGTCTCGGCGAGTCTCGCCGTCGTCGAAAAGCGCGCGCGGCGCGAGCTGCGCGGAGGTCGTGAGCCTAATGAATGATTCAGCCTACTGAGTCCTTGACTAAGCCCAGGTGAGCCCAGTTCAGCTGCGTGGAGGTCGTGGGCCAGCGCGTGTTGCACGCCCACACGGAGAAGAATGGCGCCTCGAGCGTGCGCCACGCCTCGCTGCCCTTCGGCTTGAAGCGCAGCCCGCCCGCGTACTGCCGCTGCGCGAGCATCAGCCAGAGGGCCTGTGTGGGAAGAGAGGGGGGCGTGAGCGCATGCAGGCAGAGGTGTGGGACGAGCGAGCGTCCGCCAGAGGGCCCACACGTCGAAGCGAGTCTCGCCCATCCAGCGGAGGTGCTCCGAGCCTAGAAGGTTCTTAGAAGGTTCCTAAAAGGGTTCCTCCTCGCCCAGCAAGCGGAGGTGCTTCGAGCCTAATTCATAATTACGCCCAATGGATAGCTGACAGGTGAGCCCAGCCAGCGGAGGTGCTCCAAACCGAGGTCGAGGTCCGCGGCGAAGGCCCACTCCATCGAGAGGAAGCCGTGGAGGAGGCGCCCCTCCGCCGGCTGCGAGACGCGCATCACGTCGAGCCGCTGTCTATTGAATGCACCAGCCGAGAGGTGGCCGAGGTACGAATGACTGATGGCAGCATCACGTCGAGCCGCTGCCGGCCGCCACAGCAGAGGAGGCGCGCCGCCGCAACCGGCCCGGTCGGCTCTCCCGCCGCCTTGAGCGGCGAGGCACAGAGTCGTCATCCTCACCAACAGCACCACCCTTGCTACGACGACTATCACTCTTCTCATTGTTTGCCTTGAGCAGCGAGACGCACAGCGAGTTTGCAGAGCCGCCGGGCAGCACGCCGATCGAGAGGGCGGAGACGGCGGCGTCGGCGTCCTCCCGCGCGAAGAGGCCGTTGACCAGCTCGTGCACCACCCCGTCCCCGCCCACGCACACCACGGCGTCCACCTCGGCCGGCTCGATCTGCGCAGCGATCTCCCTCACGTGCCCCGCGTGCGTCGTCACCACCTCGGTCAGCGCGACGCGGTGCGCCTCGAATAGGGGGCGGCAGCGGGCGTAGACGCGCCGCGCGTGGCCAGGGCCCGACACCGGGTTGATCAGCACCAGCCACCGCTTCTGACGCGGCGGCGGCGCGTCAGGAGCCACGCCGTGCATGATATTCCACACCGCTGCTGCCCACCGCTCGGCCTGGCCGCCGTCGCGGCAGGGCATCCTGGCCTGAGAGGGCTCGCGGTGCGGAGAGCCGAGGCAGCCGCCGCCGTGCAGCGTCACGCAATGCAGCACCAGCTCGCTGCGCTCGGCGGAGGCACCGACGCAGTCGGCGAGCGCCACCGACTGCACGCGGCCTGTCGACGTCAGCGGCACGTACTGGACGACCTGCCACGACACGTCGAGCCGCCCGCCGCCCGTCTCCTCGCTCAGGAGAGCGGTGTTGCTGAGGAGGAGCTCCTCCGCGCTCATTGAGTTGAGGTGCCGCAGCTTTGCGCGCAAGCTCTGATACAAGAAACGCGCGCGGCTCGAGTAGTCCCCTGCGCTCCCCGCTCCCGTTCCCCTGTGTCCCTGATCGTCCTTACAAGATCCTGCTCGTGCAGGTGGGGACCTTGTCCTTCCCCCACCCCTCGTTTGGCGTGCCCGTTTTATTTACAGATTTATTTGGAAAAATCTCATCCCTGGCGCCAGTGACGTCAATCGTCATCCCTTGCGCCAGTGGGTTACTTATTTATTTATCTCCAGTGACGTCATCGCAGTACAGCTTCGTATCCGACGATGTGGATATTGAATCGCGGCCAGTAAAGAAAATTGCGGCGATTCAATCATCCCTGCCGGGTACCTGCCTAGTTGGGCTGCAGCGCTTTGCCAATCGAAAGCTCTGGCAAGCGTACGTCGCAAGAAGAGACGTGGCTGCGGGGGAGAACTCAGGAGACCCTAATGTCGAACTGCTCTTCCATATGGGATCAAGGATCTGACCAAGATCCTGGGCACGGGTCTGACGACGAATAGCGAGGGGTTCGCCACTGCAGAGGCGGGGAGTATGGCATTGGATCTTATTTTGCAACTTGTGCAGCGTATCCTGTCAAGATTCACCCACGGAACATTAATGAAGATGGAACATTCACACACGCTCATTCTTGCTGAGGTGGCGTGCGGCGCGGTGAAGAATCTAGATGTACAAGATCAAGCTTGAGAATCATCCGCGAGTGGCCAGTATCTGACAGCACACAACGGAATTCCGGCCAGGTCGTTGCAACGATCACTCGAGCTACACCATCTTGCACAAGCCAGGCAGTGGGTGTGTGTGGGAGGGCGAATGGGAGCTCGAACATGTTCGTCACTCTGTGTGCAAGAGATCAAGCTTACTAATCATGACCCCCGTGGCCAATATCTGACACAGCACACAACTCCATTTTGACAGGGACCTGCGCAACGATGGCTCGGACGAGCTACGCCTTCGTGGTCGAGCCACGCCCAATGGGTGGTCTTTGGACTTTGCGTGCGAGGGAGTGTGATGGAAAAAAGAAAGAAAACAGACATTAGCTCCCCGGCCCTGGATGTGAGGCTAATAACTGCACTCCAAGTGCTCCAAGACAACCCAAGGGAGGGATGGGAGGACGGCACGCCGCCACCACACAGGGATTTTAATGTTTGTCCGACACTAGCACGGCAAAATTCTTTTGTCACCAGTAAAGAAAGAAAGAACCCAAGGGAGGGATGGGAGGACGGCACGCCACCACACAGGGATTTTAAGAATTGTCTTTAAAAAGAAAGAAAGAAAACAGACAACCCAAGGGAGGGATGGGAGGACGGCACGCCGCCACCACACAGGGATTTTAAGGAGAGGTGTGTGATGCGCTAGCCGTCGCCCACCCTTGGGCGTCCGCCTCTTCCTATCTCTCTTCGCAGTCTCTCGCCGATTCTCGCATTGTCTTTGGCTCGCACCGCAGGTAAAAAATCTTTCTTTGTTCGCGGAGCCTCCGGTCTACGCGGGCGCGGCGCAGCGCGCGCTACTGGGCTTGGTGGTGGCGGGTGATGATGCTCGTGGACCTAGATGACGGAAGCAAGGACTCGCTGTTTGGAGTGATCGTGAAGGTGCTGGCCGAGTCTGACCTCGCTTCCGCGGTCGCCCTCAAACGATGCGGCAGCCGCTTGAAGGACTTCGCCACCCCGCTGGTGGCAAACGCCGTGAAAAGGACAAACGAGAAGTGGCGGGATGCGGCGGCCAAAATCGGCGGCCGAGGCGGAGCTGCGATAACATACGGGCTCGAGCGCAACGAGGTGCTGACCAACCTCAATTTGTCCCCAGCAACAACATCGACGGTGAGACCGGCTACATTATGGCCAGTGGCGAGCTGTTGTTGGTTGACATGACAAGCGTACTTGCGAAACCGATCACCGACGCCCTCAAGGTCGACCCGGTGCTGAAAACGCTCAACCTCAGCTGCAACAACATCGGCGACGAGGGCGCCAAGGTGCTGGCCTCCGCTCTGCGCGTCAACGCGGTGCTGACCGAGGTGAACCTGTCGGACAACAATCTCGGCGGCGAGACCGACTACATCAAGGCGAGCGAGGTCGAGGGTGAGTCCAAGGAGGTCGGGGATAAGGTGATCTACGAGGGGCGCGAGATGATCGTGAGCAAGGGCGTGGACTCCGACGGCGACCTGAAGCTGATCGATGCAGTGCAGTCGGGCGTACTTGCGATCGCCAAGGCCCTCGAGGTCAACGAGGTGCTGACCCACCTCATTACCAGGAACAACAACATCCGCGACGAGGGTGCGAAGGCGCTAGCAGCCGCTCTTCGCGTCAACGAGGTGCTGACCAACCTCGAGCTCATGGGCAACAACGTCGGCGACGAGGGCGCCACTGCGCTGGCCTCCGCTCTTCGCGTCAACGGGGTGCTGAACAAGCTAAACATCTCCTGGAACGAGATCGGCCCCACCGGCGCCGCCGCGATCGCCGACGCCCTCAAGGGCAACACGGTGCTGACCAAGCTGAAGCTCGACGGCCACGAGCTCGACCTGCCGAAGCTGCGCGGCACCGACCCGGTCGAGTCCCTCGACCTCTCGAGCGAGTATCTCGGACCCGCCTCGGCCATCGTGATCGCGTCGTTGATTGCGGGCAACGCGGTGCTGACCGACCTGTACCTCTTCGACAACAGCATCGGCGACGAGGGCGCCATGGCGCTGGCATCCGCTCTGCGCGTCAACGGGGTGCTCACCCACCTTGACCTCGGCGCCGACCAGATCCGCGAACAGGGTGCTGCTGCGATCGCGGAGGCGCTGCGCGACAACGAGGTGCTGAAAAGCGTCGATCTCCGCGGCAACAATTTGGGCGATGAGGGGAAGAAAGCGATTCAGGATGCGGTGAGCGGGCGGGAAGGGTTCAAGCTCGAGATGTGAGTGGGCTCTGGAGTCGGCACGCTGGTCGCTGCGCAGGGAGGTGCATGAAATTGGACTGTCTTGCGAACAGTGGCAGGCAGCGTCAAGATGAAGGTGTTGAATCATTCCGCGAGTGGCCAGTATCTGACAGCACAACACTGCACACACAACCGCGTCAACGATCCCAACCACCAAGGACCAGCGAACACTCGAGCTACGCCTTCCTGGCGTCAAGCCAGTAGACAGTAGTAGCTAGGGCAGTAGGTGGGAGGGCGAATGAGAGCTTGAAAAAGAAAGAAAGAAAACGGACAACCCAAGGGAGGGATGGGAGGACGGCACGCCGCCACCACACAGGCGACAGGGATTTTAAGGAGAGGGGTGTGGTGCGCTAGCCGTCGCCCACCCTTGGGCGTCCGCCTCTTCCTATCTCCCTTCGCAGTCTCTCTCCGATTCTCGCTGCAACCTTCGTGCCACCTCGCGGTCGCCCCCTGAATGAGAAAAAAAAGAAAGAAAGAAAACAGACAACCCAAGGGAGGGATGGGAGGACGGTACGCCGCCACCACACAGGGATTTTAGGGGAGAAGTGTGGTGTTAGCCGTCGCCTACCCTCGGGCGTCTACCACTTCCTATCTCTCTCCGCAGTTTCTCACCAATTCTTGCAGCGACCTTCATGCCACCTCGCATTCTTCTCACTCTCGTCGTTCTCTCTCCTGCTGTCTCTTCCCCTGACTCATCGCTCTCCTCGGCCTCGTTCTGAGACGCCGCTGTCGTCTGCCGATCTCTTGCTCTCGCTGCTTCTCTCGCCTTTCTGCGTAACTCCGCTCTCCTGTCCGCGTATTTTGGTCCCTCGAGTTTATCGAGCATTCATCGCGCAAGGACCACATTTCTGACTCCCACTGCGAGCATATCCCGCCCTGTCATGTCGTTGCTCAGGTCCACTCTCGTTTCGAGCACTTGTACCTCAACGGTCGGTGTTGGCACTGGGGTTCCCTTCGGGTATATTGTGACAGCTGACGGCGGGATTTCCACTTTTGTTTCGTCCTCCTCGGGGTCGTCTTCCCCGGCTTCCTTGCGTTCGGCGTGGCTTACCCTCCATGCCGTGAACAGGCGCTTTATCCACTCTATATTCTTCTCTCGTTCCTCTGCCCGTGTCTTGGTCTTGTCGTTGTTTCGCACCCATGTCTGTATGGCAATCGAGGCTGCCTTCCCCACTACCTGTAGTTCACTCGTCACCTCTCCCGCGAGCTCCCCTCTCTTTCTTTCGGTTATGGTGTCCGTGAGTGCGGGCAGCGTGCAGGCAATCACGGGCGCTATTTTGTCGTACTCCCCTTCGGCGAGCGCTCCGAATCTAGACCCCATTGCCTTTAAGGAGGCTGCCCTCGCGCGTCTCAGGAATGTAGCGGTGTCTTTTGAGTCCGGCGCCGCCCGTTCGACTATTGCTGTCGCCCTCGCCGTGTGTTTGTCTAGCTTCCGCATGAAGTGACGCGCCTCTTCCTTATTTCCAGCGCAGCTGCCGCTCAGTATGTGCGCCAACGACGCCTGTGGTGGCTCACTGTCTTCTTGTTTCCAGTCGTCCCAGTCTCTCAGTTCTCCGCGTCTCCTCCTTGCCTCGCGCGCCTCTTTTGTGGCCTCATCCCTAGCCGCCTTGCACGCTCTGCATCCCCAGAACGCGCTTCTCGTGGCGGGGCCCCTCATTCCCCGCTTCTTTTCCCCCTCTAGAATACGCCTGTGGTGTGCCCCATGTGGCACCCCGACCTGTTGTCTCACCCTGGCCCCCAAGATCGTTTTGGTCGTCACATTGTGATCCCCGACGTCGTCAAATGTCGCCCGCCTGTCCTTCCCCCCGTTCTCGTCGGGCAATCTCATCTTATTGTCCCATCGATGTTTCAGGCTGGCTACAGCCACTTCGCTCCACAGCCGTCCCGCCACCCCTGCCGTGTGCGATCCCGGCCTCACCGTCTTTCGAAGTTGTTCGCACACCCACTCGTGTGCGCCCTGAATGAGAGCTTGAGCGCGATGACGCCAAAATTCTTTTGGTCCCTCGTCGATCCCTCGTCGCGAGAGGTGGGTTGCAGCGTCCGAGCTCTAGGCGCGTGCTACCTGTCGGGTCGGGTCGGCGCAGCCCCTGTCTGGTTGTCCGGCTGCAGCGCGAGAGCGCGTGCTACGCCAGTGATGTACGGCTGGAAGAGCCAGCCCGGCTTCATCAGCTTCGACCGCAAGCAGGGTGGTGGCGCAGCCGCCTGGACCTGCACCCTCTGCGGCACCGTCAACCTCAAGGCTGACTTTGACGTCGTCTGTAAAAAGTGCAAGGCGCCGCAGCAGATGGGCGAGGAGATGGAGGTGGCGCCCCACACCATCGTGACCCAGACGCCGTACGAGGCCGACGCTGCGCCGAAAGCGAGCTTTGCGCCGGGCAGCAAAGGGCTCATGCAGCCGGACGGCGCGATGCTCTTCAAGACGCGGCTGTGCACAAACTTTCAGGCGAGCGGGCAGTGCCCATTCGCCGAGAAGTGCCATTTCGCGCACGGCGAGGAGGAGCTGCGCGACAAGCGCACGGGCCTCCAGCGCAACGCCGCGATGCAGGCCGGCCACAACATCCAGGGCATGGCGGCGCACGGCGCCGCCGCCGGCCTCGCGGCGCTCGCAGCGGCGCAGGTGGGTCTGCGAATCGGGCAGTCGGCGGCGGCCGACATGGCGACGCCGTGGACGAGGTCGGGGCAGCCGCTTCTCCCGGGCGCCGCCGCGGGCCTCCTCTCGCCGCCGGGTGCCCCGGGCTCGCTCGCGCCTCCGCCTCCGCCCGGCCTGCCTCCCGGCTGGGGAGGGATGGCTCCTCCTCCTCCTCCGCCGCCGCCGCCGCCGCCGCCGCCGCCGCCGCCCTTCCCACCTCCGCCGCCGCCGGGCGCGCCGCCGCCCGCGGTGCTGGCTGCGGTCGCCAAAGCCCGCGCAGAGGCCAGCGGCGGCGGCGACGACGAGAGGCGGCGCGAAAAGGCGGCGAAGAAGGCGGCCAAGGCGGAGCGGCGGGAGCGTCGGCGTCGGCGGGACAGCTCGAGCGGAAACGAGGCGGAGGAGGAGCGCAAGGGGCGCAAGGGGCGCAAGGAGCGCAGCAGGGAGGGTAGGGAGGGCAGGGAGGGTAGGGAGGGCAAGGAGGGCAAGCGGCACAGGCGGGCGCGCGACGACAGCTCGAGCGGCGACGAGCGGAGGCGGCGGAGAAGAGGAGCGGAGGCGGCGGTGAAGCAGAAGCCGTGCACAAAGAGGCAGCTGTGAATAGGCGGCGAAAAAAGGAGCGGAGGCGGCCGCGGCGGTCCGCCGACAGCGAGAGTGACGGCAGCGACGGCGGGGAGGAGAGAGGCGGGGAGGAGAGAGGCAGGGAGGAGAGAGGAAGACGCAGGAAGGCGACGCGAGGAAAGCGCGACCGGAGCTCCTCTAGCGACGGCGCCGACGCCGCGCCCGCGGCCTCCACCGCCGCAGCTCTCTCAGGGCAGACCGCTCTTTGCACTGCGTCGCCGGGGGCAGGCTTGACCAAGGTCGGGCGCGGGCACAGCTTCCCGCTTCAGCTGCCTGCCGCGGGCAAGGAGATGGGCACCGTCAAGATCTTTGTTCTGGACAAGGGGTGCGGCCTCATACAGACGGCACTCCCTTCCAACAGACGACACAGCCTCGGCCCCGCATCGCACGCACGGCCAGGCGGAGAGGCGGTGGCGGAGAGGCGGTGGCGGAGAGGCGGTGGCGGACACGCGGCGACCCGGGGGCGGGCGCGGCGACACGGGGTGGCGGGCGGCCACACACACGCGGCCCGCAGACGCGTCCGGTCCACTGCCTCTCCAAGGTCCGCCCCGTGCGGTCTGCAGGTACGGGTTCATCCTCCCCGACTCGGGCGGGGGGGACGTGTACTGCCACGCCGAGAACCTGCTCGACGGCACTGCGATGCTCGAGGGGGCACGCGTCTGCTACACGCCCGCCGTCGACCACGAGCGGGGAGGGAAGCGGGTCGCCAGAGAGGTCGAGATTAGCCGAGATGCGCCGAGATGCGCCGAGATGCGCCGAGAGATGGCGGGAAGCGGGTCGCCAGATCGCGCACCGCACCGAGCTCGTGCGGAGGCGCTCTTCACACGACGCGCCTGCGAGAAGGTCACCGGAGGGTACATCGACCCGCGCCGCCCGCCGCCGCCCGCGAGCGTCGTCGCCTACCTTACAAGTGGCGCGGGGCGCAATGGCGCGGCGGGCGGCGCGGGAGCTGCTGCTTCGGCGCTGCCGGGATCCGTCGCCTCCGCTCTCGCCGCCGCGGCCGTCGCCTCCACGACAGGAATGCCGCCGCCGCTGCCGCCGCCGCCGCCGCCGCCGCCGCCGCCGCCGCCGCCGCCGCTCTCGTCCGCCGCCGCCGCCGCCGCCGCCGCCGCGACAGCCGCAGTCGCCGCCACCGCCGCCGTCGTGCAGCAGCAGCTCGGCGAGGCGTACCCGACGACCGAGGCGATCGACCGGATGCTCGACGACTGGGCGGTGGCCAAGCGCCGGAGGGACTTTGCGACCGCCGACCGACTGGCGGCCGAGCTGCGCCCGCTCGGCGTCGACCCGAACATCGCCCGACCGCCCGGCTCGCGGCTGAGCGACGTCAACGCCTACCTGCGGGCGGAGCCGGCGAGCGCTGCGGGATGGTACGCGAACAACACCGCGGCGGCGGCGGCAGCTCAGCTCGCCGGCGGCGGCGGCGGCGGCGGCGGCGGCGCGGGGGACGGCGGTCTGGCCGAAGGTCAGCTCGTCGCCGGCTTCCCGGACTGGTCCCAGGGCGCAAAGTTGGCGGGGGGGCGGATGGCGGACCTGGCGGCCTCTGGCTGCGCGAGGCTCGACTTGCGCGTGCCGCGCAAGGTGCTCGGCTCCATCTCGGCTCCACCTCGGCTCCATCTCGGCGGAGGCTGATCTCTTCTCATCTCGGCTGATCTCGCGCCAGGTGCTCGGTCGGCTCATCGGCTCGGCTGGAGCCACATACCGCGAGCTGTGCGCGCGCACAAGTGCGCACATCTTCGTGCTCGACAAGGAGGGCGCGCCGCCCGGCTGGGCCGACGACTCGCGGCTCGTCTCGCTGAGGGGCTCGAGAGGCGAGCGAGGTACGCCCGAGATCACCCCGAGGTCGCCCGCGAGTAGGCTCGTCTCGCTGATGGGGACGGAGGCGCAGGTGCGGCACGCGCGCGCAGAGGTGCAGGTCCTCCTGGGGGACGGCTGGAAACACTTCTTTGCCGACGGCAAGGGCGGCGACGGCAAGGGCGGCGGCGGCGGCGCGTCTCCCCGCTCCGCCCCCCCCGCCGGCGGCTTCAGCTTCGTCGAGGACGCCGCCGCGCTCAAAGGCGGGGAGGCCTCCTCGGAACCTTCTGCGAACCTTCTCGGACCCTTCCTGTAGGACGCCGCCGAGCTCAAGGCGAGGAGCGGTCGCGCGGCGCGGTTCGCGTCCGAGGCGGGCAAGGGCGCAAAGGCCGAGCTGCGGCAGGGGGCGTCGGCGCTCGAGCTTGGCGCGGTGGTGGCTGGCGCGGTGGAGGGGCAGTCGACGGCGCTGGAGAAGAGCTACCTGCGGCTCACTGCGCTGCCGCGGGCGGACGAGGCGCGCGGCCCGCCGACACACCATGTCTCCGCGGTATCTCCAGCATCTCTCCCGTCCTCGAGCAGAGACGCAGCCTGCCGCACCTCCCCCAATGTCCTCCGGCGCTCGCCCTCACGGAGGGGGTGGAGCCTTGCCGGAACCTTCTCGGAACCTTCTCCCGCAGGTGCGGCCGCTGCCGGTGCTCAACGACGCCTTCGAGCTCGTGCGGCGGCGGTGGGAGGCGGAGGCGTGCGACTACGCGTACGCGTGCGAGCAGCTCAAGGCGACCCGCGCAGGACCGACGCTGCTTGCTTCTTGTGCGCGATCTGTTCTCTTTCTCTGATAGGCGATCCGGCAGGACCTGACGGTGCAACACCTCTCGTCGCTCCCCGCGGCGCAGCGCGCAGAGGGCGGCGTCGGCGTCTCGCCCGAGGACGGGCCACGCGCGCGCTTCGCCCTCGCCGTGTACGAGCGCTCGCGCCTAGATGAACGATGCATAACAGAATCCATGATAGTCAGTAACGTGTACGAGTACCACTCTGGATAATATTGCATAACAGGTTCAATAACCAATTACTGCTGCAGGTACCACGCGCGCCTCGCGCTCGCCGCCGGTGAGAGAGGGCGACGCTTGCAGGCTGCTGTCCACGACCCGTCCGTGACGCGTCCCGTGGACATGTCCTCCTCAGGCGACGAGGGCGAGTTTGCGCAGTGCCAGGCGCAGCTGGTCCCTCTGCACGCGGCGGGGCTGTCGGAGCACGCCGCAGAGTTCGCAGCGTACCGGATTCTCCACTGCGCCGCATCGCGGGCGGCTTCGCTGCCCCGCACAAGCTCCGCCGCAACCTCCCATCTCTTACCTCTCGCACCTTGCTTCACGCAGGCCCCCTCGCTGCCCGACGAGCTCCGCACCGTCGCCCTTGGCCTCGCGCCGCCGGAGCTGGCGGCGCCGCCCGTCGCCCAGGCGATCGCAGTGGTCACCGCCCTCCAGCGCGGCGACGCGGCCGCGTTTTTCCGCGAGGCTGGCCGCATGCACAACCGCGGCGACGCGCTAGTCGCGCCTCTGGTGGAGCAGCAGCGCGCGGCCCTAGATGCCGAGTTCACATCCACGCGCTCCAGCTGGCGCCCGAGCATACACGTGCTCACGCCGAGCCTTGGCAGTCCCGCGGTGCTCCGAGTATTGCACGGGACCGTACTCCCGCCCTCAGCTCTCTGTGTGCCCACCTCCGCTCACCTCCAGGCGCGCGCGCTCGCTGCGCGTCCTCTGCGCCGCCTTCAAGTCGCCGGCGCCCTCCGCGCTCCCGACCCTCCCGCTCCGGCTCGCCGCCGCCGCCCTCGGCTTCGGGGACGACACCGCCGCGTGCGACGCGTGGCTCAAGGGCCAGGCCACGAGTCTCAAGCTGACCGGTGGCGGCGAGAGCGGAGGCGGCGAGAGCGGGGGCGGCGAGAGCGGAGGCGGCGGCGAAGGCAGGGGTGACGGAGGCGGCGGCTGCGGCAAGGCCGAGGTGGCGGGCCCCTCTGCCGGCACCGCTAAGGCTGCCACCGCCAAGGCTGCCAGCTCTCAGGCGTCAGCACCGGCTGCCGACGTGGAGCTCCCCGCCGCGGCGCCGTCCGCCACGGCACCTGTTGATACCGCCGCTCCTGCCGCCGACACGCTTTCCAACGCCGCCGCTGCCGCCGCCGCTCCAGCCACCGCCGCTCTTGCCGCCGCTCCTGCCGCCGCCCCCGCCGCCACCGCTTCAGCAGCCGCCGCTCTTGCCGCCGCTGTGCCCGCTCCCGCCGAGCCACCCAAGAAGAAGCGGACGGCACGTTCGGAGCGTGCTCCGTACGTACCCCCGGGTGCACGTGCTCGCCAAAAGTAGCTCATGGTTTTGCCATTTTGGGGCGCGCGGGGGATCCCTTCCCCGCGACGCGCGAGAGGCAGCTCGCTGACCCCCGCGCGGCGGCGCGCGGGTCCGCGGGGCACCTCAGACCGCTCTCTGTCGAAAAGCCTTTCTTACAAGTCGTATATTTCAGTACAACACAATGTGTAGTAAAAAAGCTGAAACAGAGAAATATGAACGGCTGCGCTCGGTTACCGCCGAGAATAACCGGCGCGACTCGGTATTTTTCTAACCCAGCCGCCCAACCGCATGCGCTACGGCTCTACGTGCAGGCCGCAGCCGGAGTCTCGGCGCGACCTCTCCCTCGCCGACTACGCCCTAGGGGCGGATCTCGCCGAGGTAGACGTGCTTGTCGTTTGCGCACGAGGCGAGGATGGGCTGGGTGGGGTGGAAGGCGACCTGTGGCGGGTGGCTGGGGATGAGCGGTGTGAGTGTGTGTGTGTGTGCGTGCATGTGTGTGTGTGTGTGTGTGTGCATGTGTGTGTGTGCGCGCGTGCGTGCGTGCGTGCGTGCGTGTGTGTGTGTGTGTGTGCGTGTGTACCTCGTTGATGGACCCGGTGTGGCCGGGAAGCTTGTACTTGATCCGCTTGGTCGCCGCGTCCCACACGTACACGAAGTGGTCCGCCGAGCCACACGCCACGCGCGCCCCGTCCGCCTACAGCGTGCGGTCCGCGTCGCGCCGGCGGCCTTCCCTCGCAGTGTATGCTCCGCCCCAAGTCTACACTTCCGCGTCCAGGACCTGCGTCTGGAGCCCCGGGCTGCTGGAATGGCTGCTGGAATGGCTGCTGGAGTGGCGTCGAGTCGTCTGCATCTACGGCCCGCGCGCCGACCACGCGCACTTGAGCAGCCCCTTCTCGTAGTTGTGCTGCGCACCGAGGAAGAGCTTCTCGCAGCGGCCGCCCTCGCAAAAGGGGCGGACCTGCCGCCCGAGGGGGGGGGGGGGGCTTGCGCACACCCTCGGGGAAGGGGGGGAGGGTCCCCCGGGGGCGCAGCACGTCGCCTGTCTCCCCCGGCTGCAGTGTGGCTGTCTCTCGGCTGCAGTGTGGCTGTCTCTCGGCTGCAGTGTGGCTGTCTCTCGGCTGCAGTGTGGCTGTCTCTCGGCTGCAGTGTACACTGCATCGCGGCGGCATCGCGGCGGCATCGCGGCGGCATCTCGCGGCGGCATCGCACGTCCCAGCAGCGGAGTGTGTTGTCCATAGCGTTGCTCAGCAGCCGCTGCCCGTCGGGCGAGAGCGCGATGCCTAAGGGACGCGTCCGGGACATGTCCAGGCCGCGCGCCATGGACAGCCGCGGGTACCGCTGGAGGCGGGTGGGAGGGGCGGTTGCCCGTCACGATGTCGTCGTGCCCCCGCAGTTTGAGCTTCGGCTCTCCGTCGCTCTTGCGCAAGTCGTACACGCGCACGCAGCCTGCGGCAAGACGTTCGGAAGACAGTGGGCGAGAAGGCCCCGGGGCAGTGCAGTCGGCGCACCGCGGGAAGAGAAGCGAGAGTGCTCCGCAGGCAGTCTCCCAGCCGAGCGGTCCCGCGCTTCCGCGTCTAGACGGCGCGCCGTCGACGCAGCCCGTGTAGACCTCCTTGCCGTCGGCGGAGGTAGAGACGGCCGTCACGGGCAGCGGGTGGTCGATCACGCTCTGGCAGGTGCGGACGCGCGTGTCCCACACCCGCGCCACCTGCGCACATGCACAACATGTCACCGGGGGAGGGGGAGGCGGCCAGTAGGGGGGAGGGGGGGGCAGGGCTGCCGGCAGCAGGGGGTGCGATTGGTGGGTGGGCGGGCGGCGGCGGCGGCGGCGGCAGAAGGGCGGCGGGCGGGGAGGCGAGGGGAGGCGGCAGGCAGGCGGGCGGCGGGCGGGTTGGTCTCCGCCACCGAGTCGTCTCCGCCCGAGACGATGAGCGGCGCGTCGGCGGCGGGGCAGCAGCTGAGGGAGGCGGGTGGGAGGCGGGTGGGAGTAGGAGTAGGAGTAGGAGTAGGAGTGGGGGTGGGGGTGGGGGTGGGGAGGAGAGGGGTGCGGGGGGAGGAGAGGGGTGCGGGGGGAGGAGGAGGGCGAGGGGAGGAAGGGGGCTCTATATTGCGCACGAGTTGACAAACGAGGTGTGCCCCTTGTACATGCGGATGCGGCCTCCCGTCTTCACATCCCACAACGCGACGAGCTTGTCGGCCGACGCGGAGACCGCGTTCTCCGCCCCCAGCCAGTGGACCTGCGGCGGCGGGACGAACGGGGCGTGGGGCGTGGGGCGGCGGCGGTGGCGGCGGCGGTGGCAGGCAGCGGCGGCGGCGGCGGCGGCGAGGGCGGCGAGGTTGGGCGGGCGAGGGTTGCATACAGCGCTGGGCTGCGCGGGTCGCCGGGGGCGGCGGAGGAGTGGTGAGAGGGGGAGGGGAGGGGGGGGTTGAAGGGGGGGCGGCGGCGGCGATGGCAAGGCCGGTCGCCGGGTGGCGGTGGTGGAGACAGAGGCGGATGTGGCGGCGGGGCGGCGATGAGGACAGGAGGCGGCGGCGAGGGCGGCGACGGAGGTAGGCTTGCTGGCGGTGGGGCGGCAGCAGCGGCGGGATCGGGGGGCGGCGGGCTAGCGTGGCGAGGGATGGCGACGGGCGAGGCACGCCTCCACGACCGCATTTGCGTGGCCCTTGAGCGTGAGCACGTTCTTGCACTCGCCAAAGGTCTCCCACAGCAGCAGCGTCTTGTCGTGCGAGCCCGACAGCAGCAGCTCGCCCCCCGGGCTGAACTTCACCGTGTGCACCGCCGCGCCGTGGCCGGCCAGCAGCAGGATCGGCGCGAGCAGGTCGGAGGTGCGCTGCGGCCCGGCGACGAGCGTGCCGCCGGCAGCCGCGGTGCCCGCCGCGGGGACGAGGGCTCCGCTGGCGTCGGTGCGCTGCCGCTTTGCCACAAGAGCAGAGCTCTCGGCTGCCATACCCTAGCGTCGCCCAGCGTTAGCACAGCAAGAAATCGCACGACCCCGAGATGCTGGGGCGAGCCTTGGCGAGCAGCGTAGAGCTGTTCCCACAGCAGGCTGGAAGTACCTCGCCAGCGGTGGCTCCTCGCTCCCGATCGCGTTCCCCTGTGTCCCTGTACCCTGATCCTTTCCTAAAATCTCTTCTCTGATCGTCCTTACAAGATCCTGCTCGTGCGCAGGTGGGGGGACCTGTCCTTCTCCCACCCCTCGTTTGGGTCCCTTTTATTTATTTGTTTATGGCCCTGAGCCGGCCGCTGGATCTGCAGCCTGCCTATCATCCTTATCCCACAAAAACCGAAGAAGTAACAAGAAGCTGCCGAGCCCAAATCACCGTGAAAGTCGTGATTTCTTGTTGGTCTTCAAAATTCTCTCTCTCAAAACCGTCCAACGCCATGTCGGCGACGCGCTTGCGTCACGACGGACAGTAAACGGCGCACTTGCTCGGGACAGTGCTTGTTTTGGGATCAAGACAAATGTCGCCGGTGTCCGAGGCGATGAGGAAGGGGACGCCGAGTCTCGAGTCGCTCGGCCAGGGCAATGCTGCCACTCTCTTCTTGTCCTGGTCAAAGTAGCGCCACGTGACGTAAGAGAAGCCCCCGGCAAGACCAAAGATCATCCCCCAGCTCCAAACAGCGCAGATGGCCCCCCAGTTCGTTGGGGGCCACACCGGGGGGCCAAATCCAAACTTTGGTGGCGGCGGGGCAAGCGTTGGCGGCGGCGGCGCAAGAGCTGGGGGCGGTGGCGGCACTAGCAGGTCTGTGCACGAAACGAGGCCTTTGGCACCAGCCTCAATTAGCCCGTCGAGGTAGTCTTCGCAGGACTTTTGCGCGCACCACTTGTCACACGTTTGGTCCAGCGTGCAGTCGCGACCGTAGAAATAGTTGTAGCCTGTGACGGCAAGGTCACACTTGCACTGCGTCTGCAGCTCGATCAACTTGTCGCGCGTCTCTGGTGGTTTGTCGAGGTCACACCCGACCGCAGCACACAGGCTCGCGATGACCTCGCCCGAGTTCATGATTACCGAGTTCATCACCTTCACGCAGTCCGGAGAAGCACACGCGGCCTTGATACCTGAGGGATCGCCGTCCATCCCGTACAGGCTGAAACGGCCGGTCTTGGTCACTTGAATGCTGGGAGCAGGGTTGTCGCAGAAGCACTTCATCATGTCGCCAGAGTAGGAGCCCGCCGGGATCTTGAAGGTAAATAGCTGTTCAGTGAGGCTCTCGTAGTTGCTGCTCCAGGAAGCCTCGTACACGGAGCGGCAAGTGCTGTCTATGCAGATGAGGTCAGTCTTGGAATGTATCACCGATCCTTCAAACTTGCCCTCGATGGGCTCGACCCAATCCAAGAAGCTGCCCTTGCCGATGATCGTTTTTGTTTTTGGATCCCACTGCCCCACTTCCTTGTTGACTGGCGGCGCGGAGCACTGGAGGTTCACATCTGCCACCACGCCGATCGCGAGAAGCGCAGCGAGGCTCATGTGGCAGGCTCCTGAAGCCGGTGCTGGGCCTCCGCCCGTCACGAAGTTTGCGCTGGCATTGCCAAAGGCGATAAAGGAAAATCGTTGCTGTTCATTGAGGGGGGGGTCACAACAAACACGGTTCAGGATTGAGGTACACGCATAAGAACCTCTATTTGTTCGCTGAACGCTGGAGCGCGTGTTCCCATCTACGAGATCGCGTCGAGCCACGCAAAGCAGCCTCTGCGCCGCGTCAGCGTTGGGTCGATCTCGACGAGAGGAATCTCGTTTGCCGTTGCGTTGTGAGCTCGAAGGAAGTGGCGGTGTACCGCTCTGATCGCGGCGAGCTTGTCTACCAGCTGCTGAGGGCTGCTCTCCCCACCCACGCGTGCATAGAAGATCGCTTGCACCGAGTGGGGCAGCTGCTGCTCGTAGGCGCGGAAGTCTAGGATCACCTCATTGTGATGGTCAACCCGACCACCTTGCAGCGCGGACTGAAGCGATGTCGACGGACAGCGGACACCCCCTTCAGCGGGCTGCTGATGTCGCGGTGGCGGCTTTCGACGCGGCTCAACACCCGGGCGGGCCGCGCGGGAGCATCGGCCGCCGCCGCCCTCCCCGAGCAGACCGCCACGTGCTGCGCAAGGCGAAGCGTTGCGCGGCAGGCACGGGCAGCAGCAAATGCAGCCGCAGGTGCTGAGGTGCAGGAGGGCGCGCCCATCCGCCGGGAAGGCGCACTCGAGCCGGGCGTACCTCGGGTGGAGGACAAGGCCGAGCTTGGTGTGACCAACGATGCTCCACAGTGCTCGGTGGGCAGGATTGAGGACAGAAGCCGACCAGTGGGCCAGCTGTTCCCTGCGAGGAAGTAGCCACGCCTCCTCCTCGTAGACTCCCGCGCTCCACGCCGAGCTGTTGAATACAGAGACGAGAACGCCGGCACGGGCGAGGTCGCTCGTTGCGCCGCCAGCGGCGAAGCGGCGGTTGAGCTCGGCAACGACGCCGCCTGCGCTGGCCGAGGAGACGTTTGGTGCGCAGACTGCTGGAGCCGCAGGCCGCACGCGAGGCAGCGCCCACCGGTTCGTCCTCGCTGGCATGCTGGCCCAAGCGCATCGATGCAACTTTCGGTAACATTGAGCGGGACGGACGACGGTCCGCACCCTGACGAGGCACGCCGCTCCTCGAGGAACGATGAGCTTAGGGGCATCCATGGCGATTAGTGCCGGCTCGGTGTTCGCGGACGCTTCGGCGTCTTCGCCGATGTCGCCGCAGTTGAAGAGCCCCGGCAGTGTTCCAACCTTTAACTCACCCTCTGAATCGCCTGCGGCCCGCAAAAAGTGGAAGCCTTCGCCTACTCTATGGCAGCGCCTGGCCGCACAAGCAGAGTCCATCATGCATCAGGTTGTTACCTGCTGCTCAAAGGTGCGACTTCCCAGCGGCTTTGCCCTTCCCGTCTCTGTGGCCATGCAATGCCAACCCGCCCCTGCACACTGCCAATGCCAACGCACGAGATGATCGCTCAGCTGTGCGTGTCCGCTCCCCAGGACCCCCGTGACAAGAGCTATCTCGTCCGAGTGCCGACGTACCCGTTCGTCACCGAGGGAGAGAGAGAAAAGGATGAGGCGGAGGTGGTCGCGGAGGAGGAGGCGTTGGTGTCTTCACCGTCGGCGTTGAGTGCGAGCCCAAGGACCACGTTCCGGCCGAGCCTGCGCAACCACGAGCAGTTTGAGGCGGTTCTGAGCGCACAGTTCCGTGCCGTCACAGAACGGCGAGGGAAGAGGAGGGAGCGGAAAGAGTTTGAAAAGGTCCGAAAGAAGGACCGACTGACGGAGCAGCCAGAGCACCGCTCGAACGACATCAAGGTGGCTGCCCTGGCCGCAAAGTTCCCTGCTCGACTCAAGGAGCGGCATCAAGCTCACCTCGCTGAGATATCAGAAAAGGCCAGCGACGACACACTGCAGGCTGCCGCAGCAGCGGTGGCCACCATAGTGGCCTCCAACCACGCAGAGCCACAGGGAGGGCCGCCGGCAGAGCCAGAGGGAGCGCCGTCAGACGTGGTGCGCCTCTCGGCAGATGCAGCAGCGGCACGGGGCAGGTGATGGCCGACGTTTCCATTCACACACCGACCCGCGCGTCAAACGTGTGGAGCGGTAGCGCAAACGGCGGCGCACCGGCAGCGGGCAGGCCCCGCATCTCAGAGTCAGACGTCACCCAGAGCTCGTCCCCGCACACTCGCTCGTCCCGGTTGTCGGGGGACTCGTCGCGCACGAGCGTAGGTGCACTTGTAGGAACAGGGCCGCTGACAGGGGCCTCTGTGGAAGGGAAAACGTTCGAGTCAGCCGCTCACAGCCCCCCTCTTACAGTTAAACACTCTAACACCCCTCACCGAACACAGCTAAAAGAGGCACACACACTTATGTCATACACGCGAGAGAACTGTGAGCTTATAATCTCACACGACGCGACACGAGCGAGAGACCCGCCGAATCTGCAATCAATCGACCCACAATAGATAGGGGAGTGGGCTCTTGATTGACGCCGGCGGGCAACAACACAGACGATGATCATGAGGGCGGTCCACCGATTTGATCCCCCGGCTCTCGGGCCGACGATTGATCCCCCCGCAGCCGCCTCAGGACACGGCGCTGGTGGCGACCTTTGCGAGCCGCACTCTCGGCTTCTCCTCGACGGCCCTGCTCGGGCGGCCAAGCGCGAGGAGCTTCTCGACGACCGAGAACTGGATCGCCTGGCTCATAAAGAGGCGCGCCGCGCGCGCCTGCAGCCCCGCGCCGAGCGCAGAGAGCCCTCTCTCCGCCACAACTTCGCGCATCGCGCCGAGCATCCCCACCCCGCCGTTGCCCGACTGGATGCGCGACTTGACCTGCGGGGAGGGTGGTGGGGTACATGGTCAGGGGAGGGGAGGGTGAGGTCAGCTGCATTCGAAGTGCAAGGTGCGCATGGGTGAGTATGCGTGCGTGCGTGCGTGCGTGCGTGCGTGCGTGCGTGCGTGCGTGCGTGTGATGGGCGCGTAGCGGGGACGGGAAGGAGGCGTCTAGGAGGTGTATCCGAGCTGTCTCGGGAGCGCACCACGTCAATCGGGTTGTTTAGGACGGCGGAGAGGAAGCCGCCGACGCCGCCAGAGATGAATGTGACCCAGGAGGGGGCGGAGCGCTTCTCGTACCCCAGCCCGCCGCACAGGCTCCCCTTGACGCTGTCCAGGAAGAAGAAGCGCATCGCCACCGAGGTGGCCTGGCGCGCCGCCGTCGCGCCCGCTCCCACATATAGGCCCGCCACGCCCTGCTCGCGCAGCAGCGAGAGGGCCGAGGGTGCAACGTCGGTGGCGCCCCGCCCCGCCCGCGCCTGCTTGAGCACCTTGACCCGCTCGGTCGGCGCCGTCCATAGAAGAGCCTCCGCCAGCCCGGCGCCGAGCCCGCAGACGCCCGACCACACTGCCGGCCGCTGCGTGCGGTCTATTCCCGCGGCGTCGACGGCCTTGACGAGGACGTCGAACATGCAGAAGCGCACCGCAGCCTTGCCCGACGCCTGCAGCAGGAAGGGACCGAACCCATAGTACAGGCCCGCCGCGCCGTCGTGCCGCAGGATCGTCCGGACGCAGGACACGACCGAGGCGTGCCGGTTGATCTGCATCTGCGTCTTGACTGTGTCGAGCGGCATAGTAATGCACGTGTCCAGCGCGCCGGCCGCGCCACCGGCCGCGAAGGAGAATAGCGTGGAGCGCTTCTCCGGCGCCATGTGCGCGCGGCTGGCAGTCGTGCAGTCGTGCGATGCGTCGCTGCTCACGCTCTCGGAACCTTTTCCCGGAATATTCCCTTCGCCGAGAAGAAAAAAAAGCTCAAAGGAACACGGGGACTAGACCCGACGACGACTGGCTGGGAGAATGTGTCGCAAGCGTCTCGTCGACATGTTTCACCTCCTCTGGGAGCTCCCCACAATCACAGCCGGCGAGCCACACGGACTCCACGCCGTGCATGGGGCAGATGTCGATGCGCTCAAGCAGAGCTTCAACTGGGCAGCCTCGTATCCCTCGACTGATACGCAATACTCAGCGCATACCGCGGCACAAGTGGCGCTCAACAGAGCCGCTACTCAGCGCGCTACCCGCTCTTCTCGGAGTAACGGTGTCGCAGGAGGTGGTGGAGAATGACCTCCAGACTGACCCGGAGAATCACCTCCACCCAGCCCCACCTCAGCACCCCTATTATCACTCTCTCCCCCCCCACAGTGATGAATAGTCTGTCTACCTATATCCCTATATTCCCACACCCTGTGCAGTGGCACGTCTCGCCACCTAGATCCCTAATATTGGCACTTTGGGCGCCGAATAGGCGCCCAAATAGTGGCACGTCACGGCTCCCCAACTCCCGTTGTGCAAGTTTGGCACGTCATAGTCTCTGACTGCTTTCGCTGGGCCGCCGCGCTGCGAGACAGTCGACCTCTTTGCTGTTGTGGTGTCACAACCCGGTGCATAATTGCGCCACTCCCCCCCACCGGTGTATAACTACGCCTTCGTACCTTGAATACCTTCTATCAATATGTCAGCCTCGGCTTGAGGATGGCTTTACAGCCTCACCAGCGGTCAGCAATACCGCAGAGCCGTGCACGCGGCTCACCACTCACACCTGCTGGGCACCAACCTTTGGGTCCAGATGACTATCCCTCTGCAGAAGAGGGAAGAGGGACGCCTCACGATACTCCAGAGGGCCTCGACCAGGATACTTCTTGCTGGTCAGACCACTCTGATCCCTTCCACAAACGGACACAGGTACAGGTCCCCGATGCCAGGGCTTGCCCGGCACAGCAGAGGCAGGGCTGCGAACGGATGTTGAAGCAGACATGTATCGTTGCGGCTCACAGAGGCGGTGCTGCGAACGGAGGTGAGACTGCGGCCCAAGGTGAGACTGCGGCAGCCAAAGGAGCGGCTCTGCGAGGCAAAACAAACGGGGCAGACATGTCTCGTTGCGGGGCTGAGAACAGAGGCGGAGCTGCGGCACACAGAGGTGAAGCCGCGGCAGCTGAAGGCGCGGCTGCGTGACGCACCTTGGATCTTGAGGACGGTGCGTTGTTGGTACCGAGCAGCAGGGCGAGGGAAGCATCTAGCATGCCGTCGCCTCGCCCGCTGACGACCGGGTTTGCCTCGGACTGTGCTTGTTTCTGTCCGTTTAGGGTCTTTGTGTGGGTCTTCGTGCTCCGGGTTGGTGTGCACGGTCCGTGCGGAGAGCCTCTCCGCTGTCGTCATTGTTGTTCCGTGTCTTAGTGTAGCAGAAGTTCGGTCGCACTTTCACGCCGAGGGGCTAGCGAGCCCCATCCCGCTCGACCGGGCGTCTACTTGGGTTTGTCCGCGACACATCGCGGGGAGATACACGCCCCCTCTCTCGCGCGGCACGGGGTGCCCATCCAATATCACCCCCCGTCGGGGCGTGAAGACCAAGCCGAGACTTGCTCGTTACCATATCGCTGCTCGCCTTCACCGCGCTGCTGGGCTATCATCACCGCGCTGCTGTGTGCCCTTCCAGCCAAGCTCTTCGCGTGTCGACAGCTGGCCGCGCAACGAGCACCATGGCGAGCTCGCTCGGCGACGCTGGCATCACCGGCACCACGCTAGAGATGCTGGCGGCCAAGAAGACGGGTCCGATGCCGTGCGGCAGGAGCTGGAAGGGTCTGCCGGTCCCATTCTTCTTCCGCGAAGACTCGGCGGAGGCGTTCAAAGCCCTCGACATGCGGCCGGACGATGTCGTGTGCAGCTCGCCCGTCAAGGCGGGCACGTCGTGGCTGCACAAGATCCTGACTCTGCTGCTGCACGGCTTGGACGACGAGGGCAGGCCGATCCCAGTGTCCAGCCCGGTCGTCGAATCGCTCCTCAAGATGCAGATCTACCCAGAGGCCTGCCCGATGGAGCCTCCGGCCGAGCCGGTGCCAATCGCCGGCCTGGTCAGTTACCCTCTTCTCGTGGGCATGCCGGCACCGGGTTCGACGCGCTACGACCGCCTTCTGGGAGCCTGGTGGAAGGCCCACTCAACGTCCCCATAGGCGCCGCGGCTCTTCACGACCCACCTGTTTGGCGACCTCCTGCCCGCGCGGCTGATGGAGCCTGCCGGCACGGGCAGGCTGATCGTGTGCCTGCGCAACCCAAAGGATGTCCTCACCTCGCTCCACTTCTTCCGCGGCGAGGCCAAGGACGGCTGGCGGGGCAACGAGCACGGCCTCCAGGGTCCTAGATGTGGAATACAGGTCCTAGTGTTCCAACCCGCGAGAGGACGCGTATTCAGCCGTGTTCAGCTCTCTGCATTCGTGCCCACTGCCTTCGCGGCTTTGTCCTCGCGTGGTGCTCTGAATGCACTGCACGATACCGGGGTCGCTCGCTGTCTTCATACTGCAGGCCCGGGGTCGCTCCCGCGCTTCTGCTCGCCGCAATGCCCGAACGCGTACGGCAGCGTCTTTGAGTGGATGCTCGCGACCGAGCGCGCCATCGCACCGCTCGCCGCGTCGGGCCGCGTCCTGGTCGTCTACTACGAGGTGCGAGGAGCAGCAGCCGGGCGCCGGGCGCGGCTTGTGTTTTAGCTGACCGCCTCCCCCTGCGGAATAGGACCTCAAGCTCGACCTCGAGGCGCGGCACGACCGCATCGCCCGCCTCTCCAGGTCCGTCCACGAGCCTTCCGCGAACCTTCCATACAGGCGCAGCTCGACCGGATCGCCGCCTTCCTCGGCCGGCCGCTCACGCCCGCGAAGCGCGCCGCGCTCGCCGAGGCGGTCTCGTTTCGGAGCATGGCGGGCCACGTGACGCAGCGCAAGGGCGAGGTCGGCGACTGGAAGAACCACCTCGACGACGCGGCGTGGAAGCTCGTCGACGACACGGTCGTTGAGACGGGCCTCGCCGCGTGCGCGCTGTACGCGCCGCTCGCGCGGTACGCGAGGCGGTGATGCTTCAGGCAGTTTCGCTCTGTTGTGTGCATGCATGTACCGTGAGCGCGAGAGCCGAGAGCCCCTGTCTCTGCCACTATACCGTATACGACAGCTTAGCGTGTCTGAGAACTCAGAGTACAGAGACTGAGTCTGGTGAGTGCTGACAGACACAGAGTGGTGTGTCTCGTCTCTTTTTAGTATCTGGGTCGAGCTCGAGGTATCCGTTGTCGCGTGTGGCGGTACTCTGCTCAGTATCTTGTCAGGGTCGCCTAGAGTATGGAGATCTCTACACACAGTCGCAGAACGAACGCTTGTACAATAACATGCTCGGACACACATGAGACACAACCGGCGGCTCTCTCACTCACGCACACACGCGTAACGTATCTCGAGACACGCAGTCTCGGATACGTCCTCCACGTCTCCCACCTCTACAAGGAGCTAAGCAACAGCGGGATGGTCGAGCTCACCTCGGGAGGAAGCATCAGGCACAGCGAGCACACAGCTTCGTCGAGCAGCAGGCGCGGCGGCAGCACTTGTGCGAGCACGACAGCTCGCGTGAGTTGCATTGCAAACGAGACGAGAAGCGAGCAGTAGAGTCCAGCCCAAATGACTTCGGCGGAGGCGTAGTCCTCCCGCGCCAGGCGCTTGAAGTAGTCCAGCCCCGGCACTCGCGATGGCGACGGGTCGAGAGGGTCGAGCGCGTGCTTGTCGAGCGCAGTCGAGAGAGTGTCGAGAAGCCCGAGCTGCTTGTTGTGCGCGTGTTCGCTGGTCGGAGGCTTGTTGGGCAACGGCGTGCGGGTAACGGGAAGCAGCGAGGCGGCAACGACAAGGAGAGAGAGCATATACAGACGAGAAGGCGGCAAACAGGTGTCGTTGCGGTATGCTTCATCAACGGAGCACACGAGAGATCCCACAATGTGATGACGCATTTGTTTTTCATTCGATCGAAGACTGGAGGAATACCCAGGTGTATATTATTTTTGCTTGGGGCGGCCCTCATGATGAAATTCTGGAAAAACCTGACCGGCCCCTGCGGTGCCCCTACCTACCTACCTACCTACCTACCTACCCTACTTATGGGAAACTAAAAAAGAAATCACCGGATGGGTGAAGGTGGGGTACTATACCAACTGAAGTGATGGTTGGTGGTACTCTCCTGCAACCACAGTCCTTCCTGTGACATGGCAGGCCACTCTCAGGCCCTACAAAACATCAGATCACCCACTTGGGGAGGGTTGACATCGTGATTTCCGCGGAAAATTTCTTTTTCTGCTGTGAAAATTCCGGCGTGAAGAGAGGGAAAAACCCGACGGGAGGGCCCAGACCTACCCTACCTACCCCGTCATGAGGGCCGCCCCAAGCAAAAATAATATACACCTGGAATACCAAGACCACAACAAACTCAATAACAAACTCAAGAGCATCCCAAGTGCAATCAACCTAGAGAGAAGGTTTTCAAAAACAAAAAGCTCTCTCTCAAGCTACTCGCTTAGTGTGGGTAAACCATAAAAGTAGGTTTGAATTCGTCCACGTAAGGCTTGGTGAGTGGTTGGGGTGGCCTCAGGCATCCCCAAGGGAGCCTCTGCGGTGCCACATAAGCAGCTTAGTGATTGTCGAGACTTTAAAGTATTCGTTTGCAGATCTCGCAAACAAGACAGACGGTACTATGGTCACCAGTAAACCATAATTCGACTTTGAGGGATCATATCTCAAAAAGCCGGGAGATAGCATAGCCTTATTGTTGCATATTATGCCACATAAGGTCAAACTCGACCCCACAAGCATCAAGAACCCGATGCTCCGGCTCGACTGTGCCGGCACACTGCCTCCTCGCGCCAGCTGCTCGCAGGCCGTCGCGGCCCGTGGTGCACCAGAGAGAGAGGTCGACACGTTGCCCCCGCCGGCGAGTCCGCGCGGCTCAGGCCGGCCAGAAGGTGTGTGGTGGCGGCACCGTGGCAGGATTGCGGAGAAGAGCTCGCCGAACGCGAGCAGCAGATGGCCAAAGTGTGCCAGCGCGAGAGCCTCGCGAGCGGGCGCAGAAGGAGCTCGCCGTGACACGATGCCGGGCGGTGGTGGTGCTCTGGCGACTGTGCACAGTGGGAAAAGTCAGGCTGCAACAGGGCAGCACGATGGTAGTGCCCTGCTGCAGCCTGGCCTGACATGCACAGGGCGAACAGAGTCGGTACTATCGTCCGGCGCTCGTCGTCGAATCTGGGCGAACTTCGACCGCCGCCACAGCTCGCCACGAGCACGCAGCGACAAAATGTTGACTGTACGGAAGTTGAGGCTGGTCGAGAGGAAAGGGCTGCCGTGCGAGCCGGCAGCAGGTCGGCTCGGCGTGGACTGACGCGGCGACTTTTTATGGGCTTCTCTGTTCATAGTACCGTATACGGTACTATGGTTTACCCACACTAAGCGAGTATCCGCCCGTGCGTAAGTAACACCCCCCCCCCCCCCCCAGGTAGGCGGAAACTCAGTTTCAACGCCTCGCCACAACGGAATTCACAAGGGGGTCTGCATTTGGTTTTATTTCCTTTTTAGAGCGGGGGTCAAAAAAGAGTTTGGGCCCCTGGGGTTGGAAGCAAGGGGCTTTTTGACAAAAAGCGGTCCCAGCCTCTTTTTTTGAACGAAGGCCCCCCCCGGCCCCCCCCCGAAAGCAAAAAACTGCGATGTGGCCCCCCCCCCCCCCCCCCGTTGGCTAAGGCGCCGCGGCCGTCGCTGCCGCAGCGGCCGCGACGCGCTCGGCGGCGGCGGCGGCGGCAGAGGCGGCCTGGTCGGCGGTGGCCTTGCGCTTGGCCGCCGCCGTCACCCTGCCCTGGTCCGCCACCGAATTCTCGGCCTTGCGCTTCGCCTCAACCTTCGCCTTGAGCGCCTCGTTCGCGTCCGCCTGCTTCTGGCGGAGGGCCGCCTGCTGCTGCTCCGCCGCAGCCTTCTGCGCCTCCTTCTCCTTCTTGGACTTGGCGACTGCGTCTGCGGTCCTCTTGTCGGCCGCCTTCTTGTTGGCGGCCCGCATCTTCTGGAGAGCCTCAGCGTCCTTGCTTGGCGGGAAGGCGGGCGCTGCCTTCGCCGCCGCGGGTGCGGCCTTGGCTGCGGCCGCAGGCTTTTGCGGCGGCGGCGGCGCGGCCGCCTTCTTCTTTGGCGCCTCGGACGCCTTCGCCTTGGGCTCCCCGGCGGCCGTCTTCTTCGCGTCGGCCGCCTTGGCAGCTGTCTCCGCCTCCGCCTTCGCCTTGGCCTCCTCGGCCGCCTTGGCCTCCTCGGCCGCCTTCTTCTTCGCCGCCGCAGCCTGCAGCCGCGGGAGGCGACGAGGGTGAGCGACGCCTGCTGTGGCAGTGTGTCATGCGTCGGCGAGCGACGACCTTCTTCTCCGCCTCCAGCTTGGCCACTTTGGCCGCGCCCTCTTTCCGCTCCTGCACCGCGAGCGGTGAGATGCCGTCCGCAAACTTGAACGGAGTGAGCTTGCCGGGACCTGTCGAGGGGTGCAGCCGCGCTCACAGCCGTGCCCAGAAAGACTTAGCTAGAATTGCGGGCGAGCACCGCTGAGGTAAAGGGCGATGAGGAAGGTGACGGGCAGCCCCACCGCGCCGGTGGCAATCACGCCGAGACCCAGAACGTTGGGCTTGGCGTCTGTGGCGGACCGCGAGAGCTTTGCCTGCCGCTCCCTCTCGGCCTGTCTGTCAAAGTTCCCGGTGAAGAATTGGGCGGAGACTGGCGGCACGCGCGAGGTACAAACAGCACGCGCGGAACCTACCAGGAAGCTGTCGCACACGCCGAGAAGGCAGGCGGAGAGAAGGAGAGACAGGAGTCGGGCCCACATTCTGATCTTGGGACAGACGGTGCCAATGCAGTGCCAGGCAAAAAGAATCTTGCGGTCGCTCGCACAAAAAGAACTAGCAGGATTTCCGTTTTATTTAAAATAATTGAAGTTGCTTTCACATCGGTGGCTTGTTCATCTCACAAACAAGAAATCGACTCGCGAGTGCCAAGCTCGTGCCAACCTAGTTACCACGGCCGGCCGATGCTCCTCCCTCCGTCGCTGCTCCTGCACTCCGGCCGCCGCTGCCGCACACCGACCGTCGCCAGCGGCGGCGGCGCCTCCTCTGCGTCAAAGACGGAAGGTGTGGATCAGCACTGCGTGGTCTGACCAAGATGAAGCAACAGCTGTGCATCGTGCTGTTGGGACTTGATTGCCGCGTGTAGCAGGAGGCCAGCTCGTGCGCGCGCTCGTCGCTCCGAAAACAGGCCCGACGCCAGGCGTATCTCGGCGACGACCGCCTCAATAGACGGCATGGGCAGCACGACGGCGCTCACTGGCAGCAATAGTAGGGCGGCATGGCAGCAGCCACACCGAAAACGGACGGAGGGTGGGTGACCTGATCACCCATACCGAGGGGCCCCGCGCAGCGTGAGTGCCGGTGAGGGGTGGAGTGCAGGTATGGCGCTGGTGGCTGCGGCTCCCACAGCCGTCGAAGTGTCTGCGCCTACGCATACGGAGAAGGGGAGTCAAAATCGACGCCCCCCTTGCTCGTGAGCTGGCAGCACCTTGCAGGCGCACCTCACTACCGCCCCATTGCTGTTCATGTTGCGACTCCGGGCCGGAACGAACTTTGAAAGCGTAGCCCTCAACTCTGCTCGACAACGCATTTGGGTTGGGTCGTACATGGGTACGTGGATGATGCGGGGTTGCTACTCACCTCCGGCATGCTGCCGCTTGCCTGTCCTCGAGGTGCACCAGGCTCTCGATCGTTGTACGCTTCTTGATCCACTTACGCAACTGCGTCTGCGGGGGCCAAGGAGGGGAGTGGGAAGGGCGGGGCTGCACCACACGGCTCGGTGGCCACGGTCGCAGTCCAGTGAAAGAAGGTGCACCCGCACCGGCTCGACGCCAGGGTGGTTGCGGCAAGTTGGCTTGATGCGGCACGACTCTGGGCATGCGAGCGCTTCGCGAACGACGCGGAGCTTGAACGCCGCCGAGTAGACGGCACGCGATCGGCGAGCCCTCGCCTCCCGGAGGGACATTGCTCGCAAGTAGCACGCCACGGGCACACCTGGATGAACCTCGGCAAGCCAACTCTTTGTCGCGACTGGGTGCCCTTAGTGTCCGTCCGTCCCTCCATCCACCTCGGACCGAGGTATTCGTCTTGATCATTCCCATCTTTGTGTGTGGATTCGAACCACCGCCGGGATGGGCTAGCCCATCTTGAGCACTTGAGCACTGGATAGGGCCGATTCCGCGTGGTACGGGACCCCTCGATCGTCTCGCCCTCCCTCACTGGTGTGTTCATCGGGGGGGGTCATAACAAACACGGTACAGGATCGAGGTGCACGCTGCCGAAGCAGTGTCGTCCCCCCTCTCCCCAACGGCGATGGCGGTGTGACCGATCGAGCTACAAGAGGAGCTTGTTCAGCAGGATCAGGACCGTCGGATGCACTACCTCACTGGGCCTGAGAACATCGCGCGACCAGCCCCTCACCACTCCGGGTTTGCGTGGAGTCGAACCACTCCGGTATGAGCCCATCTGAATAATTCTCCACTTTCCTAATGGAAAGTTCACGTCATGACGGTTAAAACGGCTGTTAACGGTCGCGACGTGGTCAATCAATATGTCGTGACAGCGGCTGCGAAACGACAGCAGCAACGACGGCAGCAACGATAGCTGGTGACAGCTGGTGACAGCTGGGTGGGAGAGAGAGAGAGAGAGTTTGTTCAGCTGGTGACAGCCAGCTGCCAGGGAGGAGTGAAAGGCACCCAGGAACAGTGACAGCCATAGTGACAGTGACAGTGAAGCCAGTGAACGCCAGCGACAGGCGGTGACAATGTCAGCGCGGGACCCTGCGAGTGACAGCGACAGCGACAGCGACAGCGACAGCGACAGCGACAGCGAGGCAGCGCCAGCGCCACAGTGAGGCAGCCATAGCCCTAGTGACAGGCACCAGCAAAGGGGCCCAACCGCCCACCCACCCATCTGTGCATTACACCCCATGGACTAAAATAAGACACCGGTGCGCGTGGATGTAGCTCTCAGCGCTTGATGCACAGCAGCGTTTGTACGGCGCACACCATTTTGCAAAACTCCTGCTCCTCTACCTCAGAATTTCTCTGTGTAGGGCGAGCCTGCTTTCTTAGCAGAGCCGAGCTCTCTACATGAGAGTTCCTGATCAACGCCTTGTGGCTCGGCAATGGCCAAGAGGTTCAATACCCGAGGTGTGTTGCTCAATGCTCTGCGCGTTTGCTTGCGAAGTGGATATCAAGGTCCCAATCCTCGCGGTTGATGATTGACGCCGTTCGCTCGCGTGAGATTTTTGAGCGGCAGATGAACCAGCGCTGGAGCCCATCACGGCACATGCTGGAGGAAGGAGGGCAAGGGTTTTGCAGATTCTGTGACTCACGCCCGCTGCTGACGGTGCGTGGCTACTGTTGAGAGGGTTTCTCATGTGGCGTCGGGCGTGCGAGTGAGCGGTCGCGCGCGCGTGCGTGTATATCTTGAGTGTCCTGTCTCTCTCGTTAGTGGCACCACATCCCATTGTGACACTGTCCTGCGGGGGTGCTCATGAGAGCAGCAATGACAGCAGCAATGACAGCAGCAACGACAGCGACGACAGCAGCAATGACAGCAGGAATGACAGCCGCGCAATTACAGCAGCAGTCACAGTTGGACCAGTCGGGGGATGGTTACGACAGCAGCAATGACAGCAACGACAGCAGCAACGACAGCTGGTGACAGCTGGTGACAGCTGGTGACAGCTGGTGACAGCTGGTGACAGCTGGTGACAGCTGGTGACAGCTGGTGACAGCTGGTGACAGCTGGTGACAGGTAGGTGTCACTGTCGCTGTCGTTTGCTGTCACGACAGCTGGGAGCTGTCGTGACAGCGGCTAACGGTCGTGACAGCGGCTAACCGTCATGACGTGAACTTTCCATAGTCTCTGAACGCAGACAGAGGGCTCGGGCGGAGCGCGTGGCGGGAGGGGGCAGGCAGGGGAAGGGCGTTTGCGCCTGCGACTACTCAGAAGGTAATCGTGCTTGTGTCTCTCAAAAAAAGAAAACGCGCGTCCGGTGCCAAGCTCGTGCCAAACTAGTCCCACCCGATGCTTTTCCCTCCGTCGCTGCTCTGCACTGCTGCCACTGCTGCCGCACACCTACTGTCACCAGCGGCGGTGGCGCCTCCTCTGTGGACGCTCCGCCTCTCGATCGGCCGCGAGATTAGAACTTCCATGCCCGAGGAGTGGGGACGGTCGGGAAAGCGCCTGCCGCTCAGGCTCGACGTCGCCGTCTCGTCGGAGGCCTCGCCTGCTCACTGCCGGCGAGTGGGCTCCTCCTGCTCACTGCTTCCCTGCTCTAGCGACGTGTGCGTTCGAGGCTTCGATGGCGAGGCGAACTTCCCGATGAGCGCTGGCGGCTGGCGGCGGGAGGGGAGCAGTCTCCAATTCTGGCTCGAGTTTCCGGACGGCGTGACGCGCGGCGGCGCCGGCCCTGCGTGGCCACAGGCCGAGTCGCCCGACGTGCACCTGCCCGCGGGCCGCCTCTTCTTTGAGGGATCGATAGAAGCGGCGGAAGGCGGACAGGGAGGGAGCTGGCCGGGAGCAGAGCCCGCAGCGGTGCGGATACGGCCCGGGGCGCTGCTCGTCAAGCGGGTTGGCCCAGTCGGGGAGCTGGCCTTTGGCTTTGGCCACCACTACACCTCCGTCGGCACCTGGTCGGCCGAGCCCGTCTCGCCGGTGGCGGCGCAGCCGCAGGCACAGTCTGGTGCGCGGCGCGCGCCTGTGGAGCCCTCGCCGCTCATACAGCAGCGCGTGCAGGCGCTGCTGCGGGACCCGTCGAGCGCGACGCTGTTCGACGTCCTCCACTGCCCGATGCGGGTGAGCCGCGAGGCGCAGAAGACTGTCGCCCTCCTCGGCGTCGGGTCTGCTCTCGGCTACGTCTACCTCACGGCCAACTCGGTCCAGTCGCCGCTGACGGGCGCCCTGTTTGTGGAGGGGTGGGCGGTGGAGGCCGCGCTCCTCCTCGTCTTGCTGACCCGCGCCGTGAACGGAGGATAGTAGGGTTTCACTTTCTCGCCGTGGGCCGTGGGGCCGAGGCGCACATGAGACGTGTAAGTATGAGACCTCCATAACAGTACTCTACGAAAAAGGAAGAAAACTCTCGCCTTACTGAGCCTAGCGCAGCGCGAACTCGCCGTCTGAGCCTAGCGCAGCGCGAACTCGCTCCTGTTCGCTGCGCAACCCTACTACCCTAGCCGAGCTCAATTTTCCAAGAAAACGCGGGGGTCCTCGCTAACGCGACAAAAGGATATCTTGGAGCACTTGGAGTGCAGTTGGTAACTCACACCCAGGGTGTGAGTGAGTATTCTTGATATGAAACCACGACGACACACACCAGTCGACTCGCATCGGTTGCCTCCATTAACGGCGGAGCTATTATCGCGCCCACACCACACCTGGCTCCAACGTGGACACGCCCATAGCTGGGGACACTACTAGGTCACCATGGCATGAAAGGCATCTCTAGCAGCGACGTTACGCATGCGCCTCCCCTCCATGCGCCACATCTCGCCAGAGATGTGTGCGACGACACACACACACACACACACACACACACACACACACACACACACACACACACACACACACACACACACACACACACACACACACACACACCCTTTGCCGGGACTGCCGGGAAAGAACCTCAAAAAGAAATCCCTCCAGCCACGCGTGGCTCGTGCTGCTCCCACCCACAGCGATGGTGAGCTTCTGCCAGCCAGCCCGGGGACACGCGCCGCGCCGCGACCCGCCGCCGGTCGTCACGCGGCCCCGTACGCGCGGCGTCCGCTGCCGCCTCCCCTCTTCCGCTGGCTTCGCCCCCACTCCGTCCCCCGACTCCCGCCACTGAGCCGAGCTGCGGTGGCCACTTGGGCGGAGAGCGCTCGTGCTTCGCGGGTTCGGTCGTCGCGGGACGCTCCCCCCCCCCTCTCCAGCGTCTACGCTCCTTTCCCCCGCCCCCCGTAACCCCGGCCGGCTCTGGGAATGCCGCGGGGGCTGCTGGGTCGGGCGCCGGCAGTGGGAGCACACGGAGCGAGCTGCGCCGCAGCAGGGTGCTGACGCGTCCGCTGCGGCCCCGGCTGCGCAGGCTGACGATGAGGAGCGCGCGGCTGAGCTGAAGAAGAAGCGCTCCTTCCGCAAGTTTTCCTTCCGCGGGATTGACCTCGACCAGATGCTCGACCTCTCAACGGAGCAGCTGATGGACATCCTGCACGCGCGCGCGCGGAGGCGCTTCTCGCGCGGGCTGCTGCTCAAGCGGCCCGTGAAGCAGCTGAAGAAGAAGCTGCTCAAGGCCAAGAAGGATTGCGGCCCGCACGACAAGCCGGATCTCTCAAAGAACGCCTTTTCCTCTCCTGGGCCTATTTTTTTTTTTTTCTTTTTTGTTGTTTCTTG